AGTTGGTCCAATAAAAGATATTACCTCACCTACCTTGTCTCTCTCATATCCTGAGGCTAACATGACCACAGCAACACTATTCACAATATAAACAAACTGCAAAAATAGAGAAAAAGAACTTTCATTCAGTTACACCATAGTCATCTTATATATTACTTTTGTTTGTTGATGAAAAGGATGCGAACAGTGGGAATGGTGATAGTAATGGAGATAATGATTGGTTGAAAAGTGTTGTAGGGTAACTTGTGCATATAATGGTAATAGTTGATAGTGCAGTAGAAATGTTTATTATCTTTCAGAATTTGTATCCACTGGACTTCAGATATCAACAAACATACATTGCGGGTGTCCCTTTAAATAGTCTCTATTCCTCCTATCCTGGCAAAACCACAGAACAGTGAACTGTATTCTGTTCTGCCCTTTGCATCAACAAAGCTGCCTGCTAAATTCTGATTCCAGAATCTTACTGCTGCTTCTGACGTCTAAAACAGAAATCACACCACCTGGTTATTTTTCTCTCTAACAATTCAGATGGAATTTGCACTGTTGGCAGTAAGGAAAATCTTGTTTTGACTTGTAGAGAGAGAAAATATTATACACATTCTCCATCAATCACATATTGAATACCAAGATGGCACTTAAACTTTGTATTTTCTTATTGTGTTGAAATAGTAACATCTGTTTTAAGCTAGTTTTTGTGTGTGTATCTTCTCTGCCTTTGGTTACAATGGGAGCAGAATTATCAATTTGCATAATCAATTAAGTCAGATTCCCTGTATTACACCAATGCAACACCATCAATTTCACTGTCTCTATCTGGTATCTAATATGAGTGCACTTAGAGTGACTCTTGTACAAAGATATCAACATTCTTAAAAAAAGGTAGATAAGATACTTCATTATCTCAAATTTAGAGATGAGGAAACTGAGACCTAGCAAAGCATTAGGTACCAGTGTGTCTTGGGATGCTTTTCAGGCATCAGACCAAAGGCAAGGTATATTTACAGCTCAGTAAGTGTGGTTATTCTGGAAAGGTTTTGATTGTATGCTCTTTGGGGCAGGGACTATTTTTTACCTTAATTTGGAAAGCACTTGGGACATTTTAGATGCTCCTGCAATATAAATAAGCATTTTAAGATGTACTATTAATGGAGATGGGCTGAGGAAGTGAAGTTCGGGTTTGGATTAGATTTAGGCTACTGTTCGTGTTCCAAGCCAAAATGTGCTATATTACCTGTGAAAGTCCATCATTTCAAAGGTTTTGGTTTGTTATAAGCTTTTCCTGGATGTTCAACATTTGTTTTTTGTGTCACTCTAATGCTCTTGAAAGATATTTGCTCAGATCTCTGCTATGTCCCTGCAAATTTAATTTCGCTTTAACTGACGTGTTTTATGATGGAATATTCAGTATAAATTCTCCTTGAGCATATTTGGAGTGTTATTTCCCTTTCCTCCCTCTGTTGTTATTTTTTATACAGCATTCCAGTGTGAAAAGTTAGAAACTCTGTGAGGTGCTTCTATCCTGCAAGTACATTGAGTAGGCAGTTCTCGCTCCATTTTTTTAAATGTGTTTAGGGCAAACATGTTTTTGCTGTCTTTATGTTTTGTTTGCCAGAATTAAAAGAATAGGATCTAACATTGTAACAACTATTTAGCTGCTTGAATGCATTTTGATTGATCCTTAACAAGAGAATGAAGTGCATGGCTGTCAAAATTTTTCACAACTAATAGAGAGTGACACACCATACAAAAGACATTGGCACAGATTCATCTTTGGTGTAGCTCTGTTGCTATCAGTGCTGTGTTACATCAGGAATAAATTTGGCCTGCTATGTGAGTTCTAGGACTATTGGAAATAAATAAGCTAAATGATGAGAAATGTACAAAGATGTTTATTAGTTGTGCATTTTGTGCCTGCAGCACCAGAGCTGTGTATGTAGTGCTTGACGCACCCGATCCAGAATGTTGTGATGTTTATAAAATTGCTGAACACGGCCTTTGTATGGTGCTTAAAAAGTCTTTTTTTTACAGTGAATGTATTTATTTTTCTTATAACTTACATTTACAGCTTTAAAAAAAACCCCATGCTTGTGCAGCCTGAGACCAGCACATGCCCTACAGACCTGTCCATTTCTCCAAAACCCTCATGCTTTAAGAGCTGTTTGACTCTAGTCTTGCGTTGCTCATGCTTTTCAACTCTGAGCAGGGAGCAGGGGCGTTGAGATTGAGACAGCTGTGTTGCACAGAGTATTTTCATAAAAGGGGGAGAACCAGCAGTTGATGCATTTAAAATCTTTACTTAAAAACTAGCAAAGTTTAAAATAATCTTCAATTTCATTAAGTTCACCAATCCACTGTTTCCATCCCTTCTCTTTCCCAGCCCCAAATCATCTGCTCTTCCTTTAGAAATTGTGATATTTTCTTTTGTTTTCACTTTGGATTTTTGATACAGTTGGAGCACAGAGTTTTAAAAAAAAAACCAGTTATGCACTGTGTGTAGACTGCAGAATAGTTAGTAAATCGCTGATGAACTGAACAGAATCTCTTAAAGGAGATGGACAGGAAAATGACAGCCCTTGGTGCCAGGAACATAACTTTTATGATGCACTAGCAGGGTGTCCTATGCAGACTCATTGACTATGTCCACCTTATATAAATCATGCCTTCTTTGCTTCTATTAAATTAAACCATTTAGCCGGAATGGGGACTCCTGAACATTTTAATGAGAACTCTTGAAAATCAAAGGGAGGGGGTCACAAACTAAAAGTCTCTTTTGAAGTTCTGCAGCAAGTTACTTTAATCAGAGCCCCTCAGTATCTGAGAATGCATAGAGATCAAAAAAAGGTCCTCTACTGGGAAAGTATGGTTTTTTCCCTTTGTTCATAATCGGTAATTACACCCCCATAATGGCTCCTCTGGTGCAGATGCAGAAGTAATAGACGAAGAAGAAGAAATTAGTTAGGCATACAGTAATCGCAGCAGTGGCTAGCTCAGCTGTACAATAGCACAAGAACTAATGCAGTTGTTCCTGGAAGCAATTTATTCATAGCAACAAGGCTCACAGCTCCTTGTATGTTTTTCCATTAAGTCATTAAAATGTATAATGCTCCATTTTTAACCCTTCTCTGTTGAGTGAAGAATGAAATTTCTCCACAGCAAAGGAGTGGGATTCTGGCTGCCCATATTTGGGGATTGGGGAGAATTCCAGAACTCTAGTATGGCTAGTGCAGCTCCAGCTGAAGTGCATTAGTGAATTAGCTGAAGTGATTGAGCTGCTTTCTGTCTGCTAGCTTGGGCCAGTTGTTTCGTGACTGATTCTGATCTTGCTTAAACCAGTGTAAGTCAGGATTGAATCTATTTACATCTGTGGAGTTTTGCTGGCAAAAAAACAATATGAGATTAAAATTAGGCACGTAGATGTTCTTGTATTATTACACACTTGCCAAGTGGAAGTTGGCCAGTAACGTGATTGATTCTTCCCACCCCCAATGTTTGGAAAATGGCAATTACCATTTGGAAAAACTTTGCTCTTGGCAAAGATGAAAGATTGAGAAAATCTGTATCATTTTGGGTTATTTAGAAACTTCTTATTTTTGTCTGCTAATGGAGATATGCAGAATGCCATGTGGCTATCTGAGTTCACATAGGGAGCATTCTCTTGTAACAGAAAACCTTTTGAACTCTGTTTGAAGATCACATCCTTCCCATCAAACAGCTCTGGATCTCTCTCTTGCATTCTTGTGCTTTCATCAATTTCACTGGAACTTGCATGTGGGGAACCAGTTCAGAATATGCAAGATAGATCCATACAATGAATAAGAGAAGTTTGCCTAAAGTGTACACATTGCTCTGAGGATGTACTACCTGGTCACTGGTGAGCAGTTTGGGCACTTGAGTAGACACTGTTTAATTGAGCATATCTTTCCTAAAGCAATCTGTCATTCAAGAAATGCTAAGCTTGAATCAGTGTATAAATTTGTGTTCTGAAGCACTAGGGTAAGCACAATGCAGAGCACCTTCTATCCCAGTTTGTACAGTTGGGCATATTCATTCAGTCAGGCAATATGCAAAAGCTCTAAATGGTATAGGCTTGAGAGCTGCCTTAAGACCTCCTTTGCCATCTCTGACCTGCCACCGTTAGTTAGGCTTATCCAGAATGTTAGAATGTAATGTCACAAAAGTGAAGCTCTGGGTGCTGGTGGCAGAACTTTCTTAGCCTTTGGGCTGCGCCCCTGGAATTTGCTCCTTGTGTGAAAGTATGTTTAAGCACAGACCTGGTCATTTTAAGAAGACCTGGAAGATGTTTTTGTCCAGAGCTTCCCAACTGATTAACTCATGGGTTCCTAGCTGACAAAGCTCTGGGCAGCATGCGTTTGGTTTGTCTTATTGAATGGCCCAAAATAAGCCTTGTGTGGTGATGAGTATCAAATGCATATTTTTAATTTTATTTTTAAAAACATTGCAAACAGTTGTTTATTATAACTATAAATATCGTTACAAAAAGGATAAAACCCAACAATTGAAGTCTCTTTGCACAGACAGACCTTTCTGAAATGCCTGAAATCAGTGACAGTACTCGTTTTTGAACAGTTTGCTGTCATTAGATTGCAGGTGGTAGTGAGTTTGAAGATATTACTTAAACCTTGCTCTAAAGATCAATATGGCATATTTCTGTGATTAAAATCTATAGCCTCAATCCTGCAGACACTTTTATGTATTGTGCTTATCTTTACTCCCATGAGCTGTCCCATTGAGTGAAGGTAAGCACTTGCAGAAATGTCGGTAGGATTGGGGCCTGTATTTACACGTTAAAGCAGTCTGCACAGCATCCTGTGGAGTTTGGCTTATTGAGATACAGTTCTGCTTCTATATAATGTATATTTGTATGTGAATAAGAGAGTGACAAATGAACAAGAGGCTGCTATTCCCATTAGAGCTTTTAGTAGATTATTATTGCAATGTGTGACTTTATCTTCTATCTCATTTTAAATTGAAAACAGATACCCAAGGAAGTGGCTGACATTTTTAATTCCCCCAGCGATGACGAGGATTTTCTTGGTTTTCGAGATGATGCTCCCATGCAAACCTTGTCATCAGAAGACAGCTCTGATAGTTTTGATTCATTGGAGTCAGCAAAAAAGGTAGGAACATTTTATCATAAACCCTAGTGTATTGGTTTGGAACAGTAAAACTTTTTTGAATTTGTTTCAGGGCAGCGCTGACCTTAACTCTTAGCAGAAGTGGAAATCTATAATCCTTTTATTAGAAACAAAAAACTACTCACCTTTAATTTCTTTTAATTTGTAATGATCTTTTTAAAAGGGTCTTATATGAATTAAATCCATTCTCCTTTCTGTATTAGGAGGAGAGCCTAGAGTAAGTTTGGTATTCGTAACTTGCCCACATAGCATGTAGGCAAGAATAATGGCCATTCAGTGATAGCCTACGCTGGAGAATGCGTTACAGCTCAGTAAAATGTGTCGTTATAAATCAGTTGCACGTTTGCAGTACTGAAGTGGGATTCCATTGTAACCTAACTATGACAGGTTGGATCACAGAAACCCCCTTGGGAACTGCCACCTGATGTGCCAAGACTACTTCTGCTCCTGTTTTCCTCCCCTGACAGCTTAGGACTCCAGCACCCTGTCTTGTTGAGCCAGATACACCAGTCTACTCCAACACAGACCCAGGGTCTAAACCACATGCCCCAAAGCTGCAGACTTAACCCGAAAGCAGTTTACAGAAGTGTTCCTGTCTTTAGCACTCAGATGCCCAACTCCCAATGGGGTCTAAACCCCAAATAAATCCATTTTACCCTGTATAAAGCTTATACAGACTGATAGAGAGATATGCACAGCTGTTTGCCCTCCCTCGTCCCCCCCCCCCCGTACTAATACATACTCTGGGTTAGTTAATATTTAAAAAGTGATTTTATTAAATACAGAAAGTAGGATTTAAGTGGTTCCAAGTAGTAACAGACAGAACAAAGTGAATTACCAAGTAAAATAAAATAAAACACGCGAACCTAAGTCTAATACAGTAATAAAGCTGAGTACAGATAAAATCTCAGCCTGAGAGATGTTTCAATAAGTTTTTTTCACAGACTGGATGCCTTCCTAATCTGGGCACAGTCCTTTCCCCTGGTACAGCCCTTGTTCCAGCTCAGGTGGTAGCTAGGGGATTTCTCATGATGGCTACTTCATTTGTTCTGTTCCACCCATTTATATATCTTTTGCATAAGGCGGCAATCCTTTGTCCCTCTCTGGGTTTCCACCCTCTCCTTCTCAATGGAAAAGCACCAGGTTAAAGATGGATTCTAGTTCAGGTGACATGATCACATGTCACTGTAAGACTTCATTACTCACTTGCCAGCACACAAGTATACAGGAAGATTTACAGGTAAAACAGAGCCATCTGCAGTCAATTGTCCTGGTTGATGGGAGCCATCAAGATTCCAAACTACCATTAATGTCCCCTACTTTGCATAATTACAATAGGCCCTCAGAGTTATATTTCATAGTTCTAGTTTCAGATACAAGAGTGATACATTTATACGAATAGGATGACCACACTCAGTAGATTATAAGCTTTGTAATGATACTTTACAAGAGACCTTTTGCATGAAGCATATTTCAGTTACATTATATTCAAACTCATTAGCATATTTTCATAAAATCATAGAGTGCAACGTCACACTCACTTTTTGAGTTGGCAGTTGGAAGTACTGAAGGTGGAAAGTGTGAGGAGAAGGACACTGGGAAGAGAGCAGGGAGCAAAAAAGAGAAACTGAGAGTGGAGTTTACTGCGCTTGACAGCGATGAACTTACATCTGTTTTTTAATGATAAGGGACAAAGCTAGCGAAGAGATTCAAGAAAGGGGGTGGCATAGCACACTGGAAGGAAGAAGTTGGCTTTTGTGGTATTTTGGATAGACTGCAGGTGGAAGATGTGAGGAAAAGAGACAGAGTAATCAAAAAGATGACTAATGCTTGGACAAAGGTTTCAGTAGTGATGTTAATTATGAAAGAGCAGATTTTAATTATATTGAAGGGGAAGAAGCAACAGTACAGGGAAGTTTTGTATGAGAGGTAAATTTGAGATTTACCTAGGGAAGAACTATCCTATAATGAAAGAGCAAAAGGGTGGGAAGGGAAGAAAAGCTCTGCAGGGTGGAATTAGGCAGGAAAGGGCAAAGAAGTTGGGTTGGTCAATATAAATAGGGTCATATTTGTGCCTTAGTAGTTCACAGGGAGTTAGATACACAAATGCTATTATCAGTATAGAGTTTTGCATGTCTCTTCCCTTGTAGAGTTTCCTGAAAGTCTCTCCTGTAATCTCTTCCTTAGTGTCACTTAAACATTAGCTTAAACCCTAGCTACGTTGTTCAGGGCTGTATAATATTTCACTCCCGGAGCACCGTAGTTGGGCAACCTAACCCCTAGTATAGGTGCAGCTAGGTCCATGGAAGAATTCATCTATTAACCTAGCTACCACCTCTTGAAGAGGAGTTTTAACTACATAGATGGAAATCCCTTCTGCCAACATAGAAAGCACCTATGTTACAGCACTACTGTGGTGGAACTGCACTGCTGCAGGTCTGCTGCTGTAGCACTTGTAGTGTAGACATAGCCTAGTTGCACTAGTTTCTCCTTGCTTGTTTTCTTCCTATGTAGTAAAATTACTGTTAAGGACACCTCTGTATAGGAAATGCCACACTTTACTGTTCTTGCACATCATTGGTCCTCGTTCCCTATTTTTCAGTCACTGTACAGAGCTAACAAACTGACAGTCTTTCTAGCCAGCGCTGCAAAGTTTTATACAAGTACAGAGTGAACACAAACTTCAGTTCTTCTCAAAGAGAAATACAATTTCCCTTAAAGTTACTTCCCTTTTGTGTTTGCTCCTTTCTCAAGCAGCTGCACTGCAGCTATCAACAAAAGAACAAAGTAATTTTGCTCAGAGAAAACTCACTCCAATTACCCATAATAATTTGTAGGAGATGTTTTAAGTGTAAAGAAACAGTATATGCAATGATTTTTCCTCTATTCCCCTGCAAGTTTTTCCACTCATCTATTATATCTATTTTTCACCAGATATTATCTCAACATAAAGAAGTGTATAATTAACGTCGGGGATGGGAGGGAATTGAAGGAGAGAATAAAGATATTTAGCCAAGTGCAGTTGTATGAGAGGTCATTTCTGTATCTTGTGTGGGAGTTAAAAACATCCAAGGAAAACTGGGGAAGTAAACTGTCTCAAGTGAAGGATGCTGAGTTTCAAAAGGCAGGTGCGGTGTGACTGTGTGTACATCCCCTGCCCTGAGCTAGTCCTGTTTTTCAAGATAGCAATAATGACACATTGACAGATGCTCTGAAGCTTTTCTATATTGTTTCTTTTAAAATCTCCCTTACTCATCATGGGACTTATATTGTTGCTTTTTTGTTATATGTATAGTAAACCCATTGTATGTAAAGATGGTGTGCAAAGGGGAAAAATGGGTGTCAGCCCTTTTTTAAGTAGATGATATGCAAGCAAGACCCGAAAGGTGTTTGGGGGATCTTTTATTTATTTATTTACTTATTTGTGGAAAATATTTTTCTTTCCATTAGTCTTTAACATTAGAAATTTGCTTTCTGTCTAGCTTGGAAAACCCTGTGATGACTGGAGAGTTGTTAAAATGATACTGCAAGAGCAAAGAGAGAGAGTGGAAGTTGAGCAAAAGGGATTTTTTATTTATTTTGTTTAAAACTTTTAAATTTTGTTTTCACTTACTTATCTTCGGTGATGAACTGACTTTTTGGAGAGAGGGAACCTTTGCTGATTAAGCTCCCTCTTCCACCAAAGTGTGAAAGGTAACAATATACATCTTCTGAGACCCTGCAACACCAACAAACCCAGAGAAGACCAGAGTTGATATTTCTGAGGTTTAAAAAAAAAAATCTATTTTTTTTTTTAAAGCAAATCCTTCTCAGGTCTGCTTTATGCACCATAATGAAGCAAAAAAGACACAAACTCAATTAAAAAAAATCCTCTACAGGTCATCTTTTAAAAAGATAGCAGAACTGGAGAGTATCAATATTCATTTGAAATAACTGATAGGGCTGAAATCCAGTGTGTCTTTTTCTTGTGACAGGTTTTGCATTTAACATTTTCACGGGAACATACCATTTGCTCAGTAACTCCTTAACATTAAGCATTTCCTAATTTGGATTGAAAAAGTTACATGAATGCTCTTTGTATGGCAAACTGTGTCCTACTGTTGTGATTTTCGTATGCTTGCTCAACAGGATGTTCGATTTCAATCCAAGTACCTGACTGAGGAACTGAGGAGAATTTTCACTGAAGACACTGATTCAGAAAGTGAAGTGTTTGAAGGCTTTGCTCCAAGTGACCTGGATGTAAACAATGCGAATGGAATGACGGTAAAGCTAGCATTTTCATTGTGTTCAGACATACAATACAGACTCCTCCCGCCCCCTTCTTCTTTCTTTGTGTAATCCTCTTGTTTTCATACAGCCGGTTGAAATTTATTTTGTTATTTAACAATGTCAAATGTTTGTGCTGAAGACAAATTTTCCTTAATATTTAATCTTTTATTAATGTATCATAAAAGCCAGAGATGGAAAATATCGACTAGTGCATGTAATGAAGTATCATCTGCTTAAGGGAAGGAGGATTGGTTACTGTTCACAGCAGATGAAATTCACTCTTGTGCAGAGGTCCAGCACAAAATCTATGCGTTACTTAAGTCCCACATCCTTACATAATTAGTGGGCATTGCACTGGTCTCTGCAAAAGGCAGAATTGCACCCACTGTGAACAGTTATTTTTTTTAATTGTTGGTTTAGCTAAATACAAGATGAAGTTTCCAGTTTTTCAGATTCTGATACTTAGTAATAGTCTATGCTAATAATGAGGATAAAAAGTGGCCTGTTCCCATGTGACAGCTGTCAGTATAACATATTAATTATCTCTGCTTTCAGTCAGTGGAGTCAGATTTGAGTGATGGAGAGAACAATAATTTATCTTTACTGGGTAGCGAGGAGGAGGAGGAAGAAGGGAAGGCTTCCCCCAAGAGAAGAAGCTTTGGCCTTCGTGTGGCATTTCAGTTCCCCACAAGAAAGTCTGCCAAGAAGAAGGTGCCTGAACCAACTTTTTCCAAGCTACACTTGCAAGACAATAAACCCCCTAAAACTCTCACAAGAGAGAAAAGCAGCAAGCGATGGAAGAAACTAGAGGGGTCTGCCTCAGAGTCTGAGGAGGATGTCAAAGAGACGCGTGAAGAAAGCTCCAGTGCTCTGCTTAAAAGAGCCATAAACATCAAAGAAAATAAAGCCATGGTAAGACAAAGCAGACAAAAGCCAGTACTCATTAAGGGCATGTCTTCACTACAGAGTTTACTGGGTGATTGGCATCCAAGTCTGAGCAGTCAGGTTAGCTCTGCCTGGTTGTGAGCAGCCACACTGCAAAGCCACACTTGAGTTACTATGTCCACACTGGTGCTGCACTCTTTTGTATGTGTGTCACTAGGCCTTCTGGGAGGATATCCCATGGTTCTTGTGCCACAGTAAACTGAGACACTCCCAGTGAACTGTGGGAGTACTTGTCTGTCCTGGGCTCACTGGGAGAATTGTGGGAAGGCATTGGAGTGGTTTAGTTTGTGTCCTTACTAGACAGTGTGTGGGTTACCTGCCTGAGTGAAATCCTCACCTGAGTTCTAGCCTATATACCCTGAGCCTTGCCGGCTAGCTTGGGTTGAAAGTACCACAAAACTCAGGGCAGAGGCTTTTATGTATGGACGGGAGCAGGATTAGGGGGCAACAACTAAGTAAGGGTCCAGGTTAACTCTGTAGTGAAGACACACATTATAACCAGATCCTATCAAAAAGCATTGCCATCCATTAACTTTAAATGATCTATTGTGTCATTATACAACAGAGTTGCTAATTTACTACATTGGCTGAGAAGCCTATTGCAGTTTACTAAATGGAAAAATAAGATAAAGCAATCAAGACTTTTGCATCTCTAAGTGTATGCTCACTTGTTTGAGAAGTGTAGTTTAGAGTTAAAACTTTCCTCTTATACTAATGTATTGTGTGTGAGGGGGACTATTACCTTCCTGCTCTTTGTCATGATGCCTTTGGGTATGCAGTCCAAGGTCCCATTGGCCTTTTCTGCTGCGATATTGTGGTACAAACCCATATCTCATTTGGGTTCCCTGTTGCCCTTTCAACTTTACTGCTTCTCATGTTTCTGCTTTCCATTGGGCATGACTATTTGATTATTTTCCCCCAGGGCTACTGGCTTGTATCTTTCCAAGTAAAAGCTCATTTTATAGTTTCTTAAGCCTTGTCTACACTATGGGGGGAGATCGATCTAATTTATGCAACTTCAGCTACGTGAATAACATAGCTGAAGTCGACGTACTTAAATCTACTTACCACGGGATCCACACTACGTGATGTTGACTAGAGACGCTCTCCTGTCGACTCCCTTTGCGCTTCTCATTCAGGTGGAGTACAGGAGTTAACAGGAGAGTGATCTCCGATCGATTTAGCGGGTCTTCACTAGACCTGCTAAATCGACCACTGATGCATCGATTGCTGCACATCGAACCCCTGGTAAATGAAACAAGAGTAAGGCCTTGTCTACTAATCTATCTAGATTCCTCTGTATAATTGTGCTGTCCTTACTGGTATTTACAGCTACTCCGAGTCCAGTATCTGTGTGAATTTCATTAACATCTTCTTTATTCTTGTCCAGATCACTAATGAGGGTGTTAAATGTGACAGTTGTTAGATAATTAAAAGCATATTAGGTCATTACTGAGAAATGTCATGCACTCTTCATGCCACATGTGGTTCTGCCATGGTTGTCTCAGATGTTTGGTAGTCAAGAATCGCCACCATTTTCCCCGTTTAAGGTCTTCCCCTCTTATGAAGCTCCCTAAAGCCAGCAGCTGTTGAAGCCCAGAATGTGAGTCCCTTCAGAGTAAGTCAATAGTATTTCAAAATGGCCAGCCAAGGTGATGTAGACAAGAGAGGCCCAGGTCCAGGGTCTCTCATATAGTACAAGTATAACAGAGTATTACTGCCACTTTGCTTAGGGTGCACCGTGCTGATGACATCACACTTGCCGTGCGGGGGGATGCTGACCAACAGGAGTCTTTTAGTACATTGTTTTGCAAAGGGGTGTGTTTATACTCATACACACAAAAAGCCTGATTACTATAGGCCAGCTCCAATCTGCTGTGTGGAATGAGGCAGTGTGGCCTCACTAATAGAGAGCTCATGCTGGGGTATTGGATAAGGGAAGCTTCTGACTGTTTTCACTGGGTTCTGATAACGAATGACTAGGAGAAAATTCTGACCAGCCAACAAAAGTCACTGAGTCTATGGCTACACAACAGAGCTTGCAGCCGCTCTGCGCCAACGGGAAAGAGGTCTCCTGTTGACTTAGCTCCCGCCGCTTGCTGGTGTAATTATATCAGTGGGAGGAGCTCTCCTGCCGACATAGCACTGTCGACATTGGCGCTTAGGTCAGTGTAATTTACATCGCTGAGGGGTCTGGTTTATTTATACCCCTGGGTGACATAACTTATACCGAAATAAGCTGTAGTGTGTACATAGCCTAAGTCCCCCATTTTGTATTATGAAAGTATGTGCCAAGATAGCCCACAAGAAACCTCTTATAATCCCCTGATGCAGTTACGTCCACTCTTGTTGTCAAGGGATTAGCTTTCCCATGTTAACTGCAAATTTCAGTCATTATTGGTCATGGATACTGTAACCTCGGTATAGCACACTTCTTTAGAGACACATTTGACAGCGTTGGATGTGATTTTAGCTGCACGACTTCAGTATAAATCAATGGGAGTCATGGTGCTAAAACCTGCTGTAGAGCTTTGAACATTTAGGGGTAGAGGTTTAAATGAAGTGTTTTAAAGAGTGGTTACTTACACTGGGATTTAATGTATTTGAAATAACTCAGAATGTGTGTGAAAACAGAGCATGGTAAGGACTGAGTAGGTTAAATATTTGCAAGTTTGCAGTGAGACTTCAATAGGGTATTTTTATTAATTTCAGCTTGCCCAGTTGTTAGCGGAACTGAATTCTATACCTGAACTGTTTCCAGTGAAAACAGCCACCTCAACTCCTTCTGTAAGTTTCAGTATTTGGTTAAATATAATATATATTGTTGCTGAACGAATGAAATGTGTGTCTTCTGATGAATATTTTTATCCTTTTTTTTTCTGTAATTTTATTTGTATTGACTTGATATTAGTTATATATTATGTAAAAAGGCAGGGCTAGGCTACCAAGATATACAGGTAAAGAAACAGCTCAAATTATGCAATGTATATTAAAAAAAAAACAGACCTAAAATTAGGCACTGCCTCATTAACTTAGACCCAGAGATGCTCATGAGACACTAGACAGACGTATATATTTGAGAATGATGGTTGGACGGCAAATAGGATCTTGTAGCTAGAAAGCTAAAGAGAGTGAAGAAACTACTGTTTGTTTTCAGATCCTGTCTTTTTTTTGCTAATTTTCCTTTCTGTTAAAAGTCCGTTTTTCCATTCGAGCTGTGATGGGAAAGCTCAGTCCTGCATAATAGCAGAATGTTTCTGTGTTCTACCTCTGGAGCATCTCTTTTGTGGCTACCAGCATAGAAATCCCTAATTCTCTGTGATTACTGTGGGCTAATGTTAACTTTTCAAGGATTCCAAGTCCACGCATACTCCAGGAGGGCTGCACACCCATGTTCCTGACTTTGGGAAGACCTTGTAAAACGTTGCCCTGATAATTAAGGCATTTGTGACCCAAATTATAAAATATGTGAAAGGCTGGCTCCTTGTTGGCTGCACTTCAATTATTTATTGTGATGTATTAAACCAACTTTAAATAAATCTCTGGATTCCAGTAATATGTATTCAGTATTTTTATTCTGGAAAGAACCTTAGGGATAGACTGTTGGAATGCCCCTATCCTTATGGCAACGTTCCCCTCTTGTAGGTATAGGCTCACTTTTTCATTTCTTTTTAAAGTAACAATTAGAGTATTGCAGCAAGTCCCGCATCTCGAGGTATAGGTAGCCCCATGCCCATATAATCTCTGGTCGTTTCCCATCCCAAACACACAACAGTGAGGCTGATGAGACAATTCTAATAGAAATGTTTTTTTTTTCCTCTAGAAACAGAAGAAAACCCCGAGGAGAACATTTTCTGAAGGCCAGATAGAGCGTCGTACAAACCCAACCAGAAATGCTCGTCCACCAGAGAAATTTGCCTTGGAAAACTTTACTGTGTCTGCGGCTAAATTTGCAGAACACTTTCATAATTACAGACAACAAAATCTCCTAATAAAGAAGAGACTCAGTGGGGTATTTGCCAGTTTAGTTTGTTTACTAACCTTTGTCTTTTGGAGATGTCACTCATGCTACTTTGAGCTGGCCAGCATACAGAGTGGGGACAAATGCAGCAGAAAGCTAACTAGCATTTTAGAACCTTGGTGCTGGGATTAGAAGCAGGAGAAAAAAGGATCCTGGAGCCTCCCCCTTCCCTAGTCACCCAAGCTATTTCAGTATGTAACCCATCCCGTTTGAATGTGTATCAGATTAATATTTGTATTTAGTATTTGAAATCCAGTAGTGCCCACAGTGTGCTAGGTTGGAGGCAGGCTATGGAGTGGGGTGATAAGGAGGTGGGAGGGAATGGGAGGAGAAGTGAACGGTTTCACTCTCGGTAATGGCAGAGGAGTAGGGAGAGTGTTAGAAGGGAGCAGAAATCAAGGCTGAGCTAGTTGAACTTCAATTTAAGAATGGTAAGAAACTGTGTGGAGAGAGAGGAGGATGGAGGAGAACTTTAGAAGTCAGAATTTGCAAATAAGGAACAAAATATTTTTGGAGCCATGTGATTTACATTTTTGTTACATTTGTCCTCCTACCCCATCCCTCCTTTTGTCAATCATATTCATGGGTCATGTCTGCTATTAAATGGTAAACTTTCTGTGGTAAGGATTATCTCTTGTTACGTCTGTGTGCCATGCTGAACCACAATAGGACTGTAATCCTGCTTGGGTCCTTTTGTGCGCTATCACAACATAAATATTAATGGCAACGACAGAGGTGGAAAATTAACACTTATAGGTGAGGGATGTGGCAGAAGGGAATGAGGAGAGAATGAATTTACAGGTGGATGTCCATGTGGCCATGAGGCTCTCGAGGCATTCAGTAGATCAGGCATGCAGAAATAGAATGTTGGGGGTAAGCCAGGGTTGAGATTTGTTGGGGAGAGTTGCAAAAGAATCAGTGTTGGAGGAGAAAGTAGAGTCAATTTTATTAATCAACAAGAGAGGGGGGGAAAATCAGGAGAGGGCTCAGGGAATCAGTAGTCCTAGACACTGATGGATTGGGAGATCATGATATGAAAAGGTGGGCAAAGTTGAAATAGAGGTGCTGGTTGTAGAGGGAACTCAGTTACTGGAAAATCAGAGAGGGAATAGTGCTGAGGGAAGACGAAGTTGAGCGAGCGGCCATTTTGGAGAGCTGATATGATTTTGAAGGACAAACGAGATGAGAGCAAAGGCTAAGGGGTCAGATGGGACATCAGTGTGAAAGTTGAAGCCTCTGGAGGACAGGGGTGGAAGGAGAAGCAGAAGGAGATCTTGGTGTATCAAAGTGAAGAAAAGGATGGTTGAGGAGTCGATGATGGCTGGCAGATAAGTTACATGGAGAGGGAGTGTAGAGTGTCATGGGGAGCATCGCTCAAGAAAATGAAGGGGTGAACTGGATAAGGAGGAAGGTGCTGGACATGGCACCACCTTTCTTGAGGATGAGTCAGGGAGGGGAGAAAGAGAGGCTGCTGTGAGCGTAGCTGTGGAGGTTTCAGTGGGTGCAGGAGATGGAGGGGAAAGAGATAAAAAGGTGAATGGTAGTGATCTTTTTCTGTGAAGGATGAAGCAGATAGATAATATGGTTGATTGTCATTGGAGGAAAAAAGGGGAGGAGTTCGTTGGAGAAAGATACCAGATGTATGAAGGATGACAGATTTTCTCAGAGGAAGAGAAATGTGGTGGTAGGATAGAGCTTTTGAGGGTGTTTGAAGGGATAGGGGAATGAGGAGGAGCTAGAGCTGGTGAGAGCAATAAAGGTTGGGTTGGTAGGAAGGATAGGGGGTTGGAGGTGACCACAAACCCTAGCTATATGTTCTGTTCTTATAGTCAGAGCATATTTGATCTAAAGGTAAAAACATATCACCCATCATAAGATAAAAGATGATGAGAGAGTTTGTTTTGTAGGGTGACTGTGGAGCGCGCAAAAGAAGGAGGTCATCTAAATACTCATCTTACCGTCCTGTTGAAGATATTACTGATGAGGACTTGGAGAATATCGCAATTACAGTTAAAGATAAAATCTATGATAAAGTCCTGGTAGGTGCCTGTTTTTTCCTTTTGATTGCTTAGAGTGAGGGGCATAAGATGAAACTACTTCATTTCATGAAGTGAATTTAATGCTCATTGAAAAGTGCCAGAATAAGAGCCCTGGAGACTACAGAGCTGTGTTTATCTACTGTGATAGATATCTATGCTTAGCCATCTCTTGCTGTCTGCAAACAGGTGCCAGTTGTGGCCATGTTCTACTATTGTTACCTGTTGAGTGGGAACTATATTGAGACCACTAATTCACTTCCACCAAAGGGCTATTAGATGGAAGTGGACATAGCCATGAACGATCTGGGCGCAGTATAAGCCAGTGACCTAGAAGCAAATTGCTCCACATCTCATTTGTGTTCCCCTGTCTCCCTTGCCATAAATTACTCTGAAGTGTTATCATGCGAGAGGAGTGCTGAAACCTGGAAGAGAGAGGGTTATTCAAAAGGACATTAATACATGTCTGTGGCATGTTGTTGCATAAGCAGAGTTATTCTTATAAACACCGACTTTGCCACCTTATCTGTGCACAGATTTAAAATTAACATGAGCCCCTCTGTTTTGGGGCTTGATGCTGTCACAGGGATCACTGCATGAAGATTATCTAATACACTGGAATTTTAGAATGGTGGATATTGAACTGCTGAGTGACTCTGTGGGTCCCTAGCATTTGCCATGGGTGGATTGGAACCAGAAATATAACATAGGGCTCATGTAGCACCTTAGATTCCTAAGCCTTCAGGACAGGCTTACAAACATCTCTTTGTTTTGTAAAATACCTAGTGTACTTTTGAGCACTGTAGAAATAATCATGGTGGTGGAAGTTGTGTTTTTTCCTAATGTTTTATTAATCTAGTTGCCTCTGGTTCCCAAGGAGAAATTTTAGTGTTTTCCACCTCCAGCTGAGAGGTGTGTTAGAGAATTCCAACACCTGGAGTCAAGAAGTTCAACATGATGTGAAATGCTAAATTTTTACGTCTCTCTCCCCCTCCTTTCCAACTTTAGGGTAGTACGTGCCACCAGTGTCGGCAGAAGACAATTGATACTAAGACAGTCTGTCGTAATCAAGGGTGCGGGGGTGTGAGAGGACAGTTCTGTGGACCATGTCTTCGTAATCGATATGGTGAAGACGTGAAATCTGCACTTCTGGATCCAGTAAGTATCCAATTCTTTGGGTCAAAAAGATAGTATGATTATGGCTTCGTTAGCTTCACAATCGTCACGACTTTCTTGGATAACATGAAATTGAAACATTCTGCCACATAAAAGCCTGAGTAGTGTGGCTGTGATTAGAGAGCAGGGCTTTTGGCCTGCTCTTAGTTGCTCTCAGGTGGGGGAAAGAAAACTCATGAGGCTTAGAAGATGAACGGGGACCTGATTCTCCCAAGTTCTTGTTTAGCTTTTTGCCTCCTTCCCCGATGCTTTCACTGGTCTGGTCTGCAATGCAAGCTACTTGTTTCAGATTCTAAACTTTAAACATTGGGAAGGAAAGAACCTCAAGAATTTAGGGTTGGGTCCCCTTTCTTTCCCTGAGCCCCTATCCTAGTCTCAGCAGAGTGCATAGACCCGTCATGTCCAAATCCATCCCCTTTCATGGGGTCTGGGTGCCTTGGCAATTCACATACAATTAACAGAATAAAACTCAGCCTAAGTTTCCTCTCCAAGCTTGCCTCTTCATTGCTCTTCCCTCTGAGACACTATCCTGGTTCCCACCTTCCAGCATGACAGAGCAGGCGTTAACCCTGAGCCTAATAACAAAAAAGCCCAACATTTTTGTACAAGGTCTTAGGTCTGCCCCCGTGAAAATGGCCACCTTCATTTTTGTCTAACGCCCCTGAAGTAACATGTTGCAGGCAGCAGACCTCCTCTTCTTGCTCTGAGCCCCTGTTTTTTAATGTCCTTTTTAAAAAAATCATTTTAAAAATGTTTTTCCTTTGAGATTAACTGAATGTCGCATGTGGTTCTTTCATACAGCCTCTGAGTTAGTGTCCAAACCCACCCCTTCCTGGAATTTGGCTTCACTGGTAACTTAAACATAAATCTTAACCTTGGGGTCCTGCCTGTGGACCTTCTCTGCCTTGTTATCTGGCTCAGAGACATTCCACCTCTCTTTGTATCCTGGTTGGAGCTGCTAATTGGACCAACCTTTCAACATGACTCAGCTATAGTTACCCTGAATCTTAATAATGGAGGTTTTTTATCACCTGATCCTAGGGTGCTGGAACAGAAAAGTCCTGCTTTTTATATTTCTGTTACAACACTAGGGAAATCAGTACTACTAGAATTTGTTGAGTGTGAGCTTTGAAAAATTCCAAGAATGGATATTCGTTGTTTCTTCAATACTGCAAAAAAATTTTATCAAAAGATTGATTAATATTATCCACTAAAGTATTTGTTTATGAATATACCTTTATTGTTACATAAAAGTGGCACTTCTGTTTTGGGTGGGTAATGGGGTTGGAGAAGACCGGTTTGCATCTAATACTTCTGTAGATAACTCCACCCCTATACCTTGCTCTCCTTGTCTGTAATTCAGGATTGGATTTGCCCTCCTTGTCGTGGTGTCTGTAACTGCAGTTACTGTCGCAAGCGTGATGGCCGCTGTGCCACAGGAATGCTCATCCACTTGGCAAAATTTTATGGTTATGACAATGTTAAAGAATATCTTGAAAGGTAAGATGATAATTACATAACTGCTTTAGAATTGAAATCCACACTTTTAAATGAAAACAACATTTTGAGAGCCTGATTAGAACTAACTTTGTGGGGCGTTAACCCAGACCGAAGTCCATCACAAAATATTGAAACTTGCTAAAACATCTAAATCCGTACTTGTCACTTTCAGTCTGGGCCCACAGAAATTGATGGCAAAACTCCCCTTGAGCTCATGTGGAATCTGGACAATCAACTTTACTGTGCAAATGAATAAGGCAATTGAACCAATATTTCATATTATAAGAGTATGACTTAGATATTTATTTCTTGTTAAATTGACTCAATTTTTTGTGTGGTTCTGTGGAGCTGTGACCATCTGATATCAAAGCTTTAGTTAATGCTTTTGAAAGTATCAGATTCCCATAAAGTATAACATTTTTCTACCTGTTTTCTAGTTTACAAAAGCAACTGAGTGAAGACAATTGAGGATGCTGAGCACAGCTGCCTGACCTGCAGACAAGTTTTTTTTTTTTTTACTACAATGATGTTTATACAAGATAGAATTGTAGAATATAGCTTTGGAATTTTTTTTTTTTTTACTGATTGGTCTTTACTAAAACATTACCAGAGAAATCTTTGCATGAGGAATTTACATGCAGAACATTCTTTTATGCACCGACACCTGTATACAGAGCAGAACAGCACTTTTAAAACTTCAGTGGTTAATTTTCAGTCGGGCTACAGAACCAAGTAGGTGCTTAACTCCAGAGGCTGTGAAGGGAATTGTGTAGCACTAAAAATATAACGAGTCGGGGGAGATCTTAATAGTTTGCTTAGGCCAAAAAAGTATTATTACACATCTGAGTTTTCGAAAGCCTTCCTTTGTGTGCATGAGCAAATCGAGTAACTGCATGCCTCAGTTGGTGGGCAAAAGTAAAGTTTTGCCCCTGCAAAGATGGGCGGGAGTCCTTTTGAAAATTTTACTGAAATTCAGTTCACCATCCATCTGTTCCTCTTTTTCCCCTCAACCAGGAGAATTTGTAAGTGCAAGGGGTGTTTTGTGGAAACATTTTGTTTAGTTTATTTTTAAAAGGTAGTTGGTTCAGCAGTGCTGCACCTGCGGTCAGAGTGATATTGACCCTTTTAATTGTACAGTGCTAAGTACGTTTTTTTAAAAATAATTCCTCTGTGTCTGCTTAGCTAAAGGCAGGCTTTACAAACAACACTTTGTAAAAACCCATATTACTGCAGCCTCAGATTGTCAAAATTTGTGTAAAATATTGGATGTTTTAGAGATAATAAAGCATTTTCAATAGAGAAGTATTTTGTGGGGTGGGGGGGTTCAGTATGAATATAGAGTTTAACCTGCCTCTCTGAGGGAAAATGTTGATTAACAGGTATAAATCTAGTTTATAGAGACAGACACAGGTGGAGGATTTGTACAACATTCATTAGAGCATCATATAACTCTTCACAGTAGGGTGCAGTGGGGCAAAATAAAGTGTACATAACAGCTGAATGTGAGAAAAACATTTATCTCCTTTTGACTACATGCTGTGTGACAACACGTGACTGTTGGCTCACTATTAAATGGCCAAGAGTAAGGCTACTCCTGCAAGTACCCACTTAGCTGACCTCTCCTTGCTCTTCAGATTGAAAGTCCAAACCCATGTGGGCCCTCTGGTTTTAGTTTTATATACTGGACATTTATATATGTTTTTGGTTTCCTGTCGATCAATTGGAATAGCTCTTACAAAGATGACTGGCATTGCTGGAGTCAGATCCTTGAGCCGGGCTTCAGCTATGAGCCCTGACTGGATGTCCCATCGTGCTCCTGTATCAAAAACAGAGACAGTTCCAAATGGCACTCAAAATGGAAACTTGAATCATTTGTACATTGCAATGCTGCACTTAATAGTTGCTTAGTAGTAGATTACCTACAGTTTTGCTACATCTGCTCTATCCTCAGGAAAGGTATCTGTGAGCCATGGTGCAGTTGCGCACACTGTATCTCATCACACAATTCTATCTCGAGCGTAGCTATTAGCATTCCATCCAGAACATTGCCTTTTAGATTAAATGACTGTGGTCTATTCTTATGGAAACATGTGATGCCACATACTTCTACAACTAGAAGAGGGCTGGATTCTCCTCTCACACTAATCTAAATGGATGTACTCGGGGTACAACCATAAAAAACCCACAGCTGTGATTCCCAGGTGATGGGCTCAGGCTGCAGGGCTTAACACAGCAGTGTAGACACTTGGGCTGAAGCCTGGGCTCTAAAACGTTCCCTTCTCTCAGGGCTTCAGAACCCCAGCTCCAGCCTGAGCCCAAATGGCTACACTAGCCCTGCAATCCAAGCCAGCTGACCTTGGCTCTTCTGTTGTGGTGTAGACAAGGCATGGACTTGTCCAGAAGTTAGTGAAGAGAAACCGCGTGAGAGGCTGACAGAAGAAAAAGGTGTGTTCTTACAAAGAGATTACAGCAAGCCAACTCACTCCAGTGGGCTGTAAAGTCTTAGGGGAGAAAAGGCCCAGGTAAGTTTTTAATAGGAAACAAAAATATTTGCATCTCTCAGATCTGCACGCAGCTAAGAGCTACAGTAGGCTTGAGTGTGCATGACCACAAAGTTAAAGTTGCCCTGTGGTGCTTTGTACCCTTCCAAGTGTTGAGTTGTGGTGGAATATATATGACCAGGGTCTCTAAGACTTAAGGGAAAGAGAGGGTAGAACAAGCTTGTATGGATTAGGCTTAGTGTTTGAGTGTAGTCCAGGGTGTGGGGAGGTAACACCTGTTTGCGACAGCTGATGTAAAACAGAGTTTTGCCTGCGTAAAGAGAAGGTGTTAGACTGTAGGAATACGCTGTCCTACATTGCTCTGTTCCCAGATTCCAAGGCCAGAAGGGACTATTGTGATTAGTCTAGATCTGTACAACACAGAACTGGCCCAAAACAATTCCTAAAGCCAATCTTGATGTTTAAAAATTTACACCTTATTTCCTTTCTGAATTTCTCTAGCTTCAGCTTTCATTTATTGGATATGTTATAACTTTCTCTGCTAGACTGAAGAGTCCATTATTAAATATTTATACCCCATGTAGATATTTATAGACTGATCAAGTCACCCTTTAAGTCTCTTTATTAAATAGAGTGAGCCCCTTGAGTCAACAGGGTCAGGCATGTTTTCTAATCTTTTAATCATTCTCATAGCTCTTCTTTGAACCCTCTCCAATTTATCAATACCTTTATTGAATTGTGGACACTATTCCAGTGCCAAATGCAAAGTTAAATAACCTCTCTACTCCTGTAACACCTAGTATGTGTGTTGGGACATCACTCACAGGTTAAGGTAATACTGCTGGAATGGCATGTACCATAACTCTGTATTTCCTGGGATTCAGAAGTTTGTGTTACATTGAGTGTAGCTGAAGTTAAGGTATGCCTTGTGCCCTTTCAAAAATGTTAACTGTTATCTTTATATGTTTTGGAATATTTAATAACATTTTGGATTAACTTCTCAGCATCCTAGTGTGCCCTAGAATATACTGACTGCATGTTAGTCATTTCACTACCTCTGCATCATCTCCTTGTCTAGCACACCACAGTTCCCACTCCTGCCTATACACAGGATCCTCAGGGTAAAGGGTTTCGCATAAAGGAGAGGACAGAGCTGAATCCCTCACTGCACAACACAACTCTCTCCTTTCCACCTCATTGTTCCCTGCATTGTTGTAACACACCCTGCATTGATACACCTGCAGCTTCAAGCCCTTCTCACCCGTTAGCAGGGCTATAAGGAACGCATGTACCAGCTGCTATGTAGAGATGCAGAAATCCAGATCTGGGCTCTGGTGCATGAAGAAGGGGCTCTTCCCCATCTCTCTGAGCCTTCCATGTTGCAGATAGATGTGAACTACTTCATTCATCTTGAACTGCACTGAACATGCCTAGTCCCAGCTCCTCACCCCCATTTCTGCATTGTATGCCTGCTCTCAGTACTATGGGGGAAGAGCAGAAACCTTTGCTAAATGCTTTGATCCCACTTCCATCCTAGAAGCATCAGGGGCAGTGATCCTGGAACCCCTTCTCCACTGCAAGAAGCAGCCTAGGAAAGTATTCCCTAGCTCTGCACCAAAAAATCAGAATCTCAAAATGTTATGAAGAGCTCATGTGTATCAGGAACCCCTTGACCTAATGACTTGCTGTCCTTTGATCATGCTCAGTTCCATTGTGCAGGAAACATGATTCCATTACCATAACTGCCTGATATAATCTTCTATCATTGTCTGTTAAACAAGGCTCATTCCTTGACAACATTTCTAAAGTGAAAGGGTCTGAAAGTTGATTTTACAGCACTTAAAAATCGATTGAACTAGAAGTTTTGCTCTCAGTAAAAACTTCCAAAATGAGCCCCTGCAGAATGCTAGTACAACCAGCATGCACAGCCCATGTTCTCTGAAAGCTGTTAACGTAGGGTTCAAACATGGAGTGCACAGGTGAAGCTCAGGTTCAATGACCAAGGCATGACACGTTAAACCACGCAGTTACTGTGGTTAACGGCCTGAAAACCTCCTAATTTCAGAAGATCCCTGTTCTTGCTGCCCATGCCTATTTCATGCTTTTAGGCAGGTCAGTTTAGCTCATACCAACCTGAAGGTTCAAACTTTATCCTGATAACTTTTTCAATATTGCTTCCCCAAAGGGAATTTACTGAGAGAAATTCCAGGTGGTTGAGATCATTTTGGGAAGGATAAGAGTGACTGATCTTTTTGCCCACACCTGAGGGCAAACCTGTGTTAGAAGTACCAGGTGATTTTGCAAACAGTTAATTTTTAGAAGAGCCATATCTCAGAAACCCTTTGCTGAAATGACACCAAATTTGCCCCATTAATGCTACCCTGACCCCCCCGAAGCACTGATTTCAAGACAATCCAAGTAAGAGCCTTGGAGTCTTTTAAACAGGAAGTGTTTCTTAACTATGTGGTGGAGCTGCTGCTCTGTTGTTATACAGTCAGGTTTAATGCTTTGTTAATGGTAGAGTAAGTTTATTAAGTAGAGACACTGGCCATGTCTGAATGTATGAATCCTGGTCTAAACAAACTAAGGACTAACTAAATCCATCATCAGTCCCAAACTAACCAGTGAACTTAGATCTAACTCCATGTGGCGAAAGTAATCCACTTTAGAGTAGCAGAGTGTATACATGAGGCACGCAGAAAAATTCAAACAAACATCAGTCATTATGAGGCGGATGATATCGAGCAATTTAAACAGACGTCTTACCTTCCATATAAAGACCACAAATATATGCTCCTTCCCTAGGTGGGTGGCCATAATCTTCTCTGACCTTTTTGGTAACATCTACAGTCAGACACATCTTATCCAAAGGCCAGTCATTCTTGCGGGCCGTGCACTGCATAATAGCTTTAAAAAAAGCCAACAGATTACTCTGAGCAGTTCACCATAGACAATAATTTTAATGCCACAACTGCTCCCCCAGCACCCTGCCCAGGCTTGTTAGAGCCTAAAGCTACACAATTGGGGCTCTCTGGAAGTTGTTTGCAAGAAATTAGTTGTATAAATTGCTTTTGAACTTTTAAGAAATGAAAAACAAACCAAACACCGCATCCAATCAGCTCTCTTGCAACACAGCAAATACATTTTCATCTGAGCACAAAAATAGGTGCCTGCTCTCTGATTCGTAATCCAAGCTAGGAATACTGCAGAAGCTACATATTCATTGCTTGTGTCATTCAGTGAGTTGGATGACTAAGGAGTAATATTGACTGGCTCTGATGAAAATCATGATACCTGACAGCAAACTGGATCAACAGGGGCTGAGAGAGAAAGGGGTGTGTGTTTGTATAAGCCTCAGAGCTATGCTCTAGGAATCTGTGGTCTAATGTGAATGGCTAGTTGAATGTTTTTACTGGCTACTGAGAATTTGAATTAAAGCATATTTACAAGTCTCTCTTCATTGTGTAACCCCCATTAGTGCATGGATTTCCAAACTACAGCCTGTGGATCACCAACTGTCCACTGACAGGGCTTGGGATTCTGCAGAATTAAACATTTTGAGACACCAGCAGTCAGGGACTTGAGACTGGTGGGGTGGCAAGTCCCTGAGAGGAATTTGGTTTTACAAACTAGTGGGTAGAATGAAAAGCTGCTGAAGCTTGACAATGGCTTCTAGAGATCTAGGTAGTTGCTTTAGATTCTGAAATCATGCATGTGGGTTGTAAAGCAAAGCATGGGGACTAAGGGCTTGTCTACACTTACCGGGGGATCGATGTGTGGCGGTCGATTTAGCGGGTCTTG